AATTGGATTTGCGAAAAGCTGTGAATTTTTCGAAATTTTCCCATGGAAGAGAAAACTCCCCACCTCGGCCACGGCCATGGATTGATGACGTCATCGCTGAAAAATTTTATTTTGGATTTTTCTCCGTTTTCCTTCGTTTTCCATCGTTTTTGCTCAAATTTTTGTGGTAATTAATCGAAAAAAATTAATTAAAAACTTACGAATACCGTCGGATTGTGGGCGTTACTTCTATCATCCACGTTTTTCCTAGAAAATGCCAACGTGGAATCAGAAGTAGCCGAGTGGAGTACAACCGCGATGAGTTTAGCATATGTGTCCGGAACGGTCACTGGAGGAATTATAATTGAGAAGTGGGTGGGGATTTGAACTTTCGGATTTTACTTAAAAATATTTAGAGTCGGTCGTCGGACACTTCTTCTCCTATTCACTTTTCTTAACAATTTGGCTCTACTCGCGTTTCTGTTTTTTGCGAAAATTCGGATTTTGATTGACCCAATGAAATATGGGTGTCTAGGAGCACTCATAATCTATGGATACACTTATGGGTATGTCTGAATCGATCATCTTTTGAAATCCTATGAACTAAATTTTCAGAACCGGTGTTGGCCCAATTTCTTGGTTCATTTCTTCTGAACTGGTGCCTCAAAAACATCGAAGTATCGCTCAATCGGTTGCATACGCCATTAATACCCTAATGGTCGTTATTAGCACATTTACCGTACTCCCACTGTATTCTGTAATTGGAAGTTATGCATTTGTGATACTGTATTCGATTCCTTCATTTATAAGTATGCTTATTTTGTTTAGGTATTTGCCAGAAACAAAGGGACGGGAGATTCATGACATTGTGAATGAGTTGAAGAATAAATAGTTGAAATATATCAATTTTTCTTGTTTTCAAAATTGAAAAAAGTATACTGTAAATACCGGATTCTAGAAGACTACTGGTATGGTATCCTTATGTGGATAAACCATTATTGGTTTACAGTCTCTTTATTCTCGACGTCATCCGGTCTACCGGGCCTCCTTCATCTCCAGATGACCATATTTTCTTATACTTCTTCTACGTCTTAACCTGTCAGCTTCCACGTAGCCGAGAGGATAACATGTGCGGTTGTGGGACCACCAGGGGAATGGAAGGGACGGATTCAAATCCCCCGGTGGTCTTCGATTGATGACGTGAGGAAGACCCACGTCTCTACCGCACATCGTTAAGGCACGGAGGACGTCGCTGGAGTACAAGCAACGACAAGCAAGGAGCGAGCAAAGGACGACCACTGGAATAATTATAATTGATACTGTTCTGAATTATAATATTAAATGAATTAATGATTTCCGTTTTCCTTCGTTTTCCATCGTTTTCGCTCAAATTTTCGTGGTAATTAATCGAAAAAAATTAACTTTTTAATTTTTGCGATGTTTTATTGCTTGTGCGAACAATTTTCGATAGAAAATAGCTCATTTTGGGCCAATTTTTAGGATTTTTTAATTTTTGTGTGTATTTAAATCACTAAATTGTGATTGTTTCCTTCATTCAATGATCTATAAAATTATGAAAAAAAATGAGAAAAAATTCAATTACCACGAAAATTGAGAAAAATTGAGGAAAATTGGGAAAAAACGAAAAATTGAGAAAAAAAGGGAAAATTGGGAAAAACCGAGGGAATATTGTGAAACAGAAGAAAATGAAATAGAATTGAGAAGAAAAGCAATTGAGAAAAATTGGTAGAGGAAAGTATCGACTGAGTTTTAAAACATAAATTAAGAGTCCTGAGTAGGGTTTCCATTTTAAAAGTCCTGAGTAGGGTTTCCATTTGGGGGGCGATTTACCCGCCCGCGAATATTTACGTGAGGAAAATATTATATTTTTTGTTGTTTTTTGATTAGAGAAACTCAGTTTTTCTTGGAAAATACCTCAGGTAAATGATTCGGAATTAGATCGAATAACTCGAAATTCGGAATTAGATCTGAGTTCATTCGGAATTAGATCTGGACTAGATCTAATACCGAAGTTGCCACGAGAAATGCGCCATCAATGACTCAGCGGCCGCGGATGAATTGTTTTGTTTTTTTTTGTTGTCCTAAATTTTTTTCGTCAGGAAAATGGGTATTTCTCTCAACTTTTGCCTTTTTTTTCGCTCAATTATTTAAACTATATTTTCTGGAACACATTTTAATGTGTAATGTGCACGTTTTTGCAAAATTTTAGGTGAATTTTTTTAGGGACAGCTGAATATTCAAAGTTCAATTTATATATACGACTTCTATAGAAGACAGTAATTCTATGAACCGACAAAAATACGAATAACGATGCAAGGGATCACCGAAAAAACAAGAAAAAAAGAGATGATAAATTTCTCTGATAGTGAGCTCAATTTACACAAGTCGAGAAGGCCTTACTTTCGGAAGCCGTGTCTTGTCATGAGCAGGTTAGTTTTCGAAAGTCTGGTGGACAAAGAAACATGCGTGAAATTGCAGGCTCTCAACCGAATGTGTCATGACCCGATTAAAACGATTCAAAAATTTGGGATTTGTTGTATAAAACAACTGCTCTGATGAATTTATTTGGATTTGCAAAGATTTGAGTACGAAATTATATTGAAATGGCTCAAGTAAGTTTATTATCAACATCACAAAGCCAAAAACTTCTTTTTTCAGTTAAATCAACATTCATTTCATAAAGAATATCCATCTTATCTACAACCGGAAACTATGACAAGAGAATTTTCAAAATCGAAAATATGGACGAGCGGAAGAATTCGAATTGAGATTTTTTTCATAAATGTTGTCACTTTTTCTTATCTCATAGGTCCCATTATTCTCGCTGATCTCATCGTTTTCTTTTTTGCTGATCCCATTCATTCATTTGTATCACACCCCTCATTTTCGTTCCGATTTCCTATATCTACATTTTAATCAATGTGTTTCTTTTTCTCATACTTGTTCTGTTTTCTTTTTTAATAAATGTTATTATAAATAAAGTGAATGGCGTTGAAAAGAAAACAAAATTTGAAAAGCGCTCGTTACGATGCTCCGAAATCCCGCTGGTCTGTTCGGAATTAGATCTAATTCGTTCGTAGTTCATTCGGTGTTCGTTCGGAATTAGATCAGCTAAATTCTGTATTAGATCATGCCACTTCTATTTACGAACGAACCCAGATCTAATTCCGAATGAAGTCAGATCTAATTCAGAATCGTTTACCTGAGACGTGATTATCCTTTAAAATTTTATTAAAATTCACACGCATCTAATTGCGGGGGGCCGCGGGTGAGAGCCCCCCGGGTGGGTAGCGGGTAGCCCGCTTCTTCACCTGCCCAAATGGAAACCCTAGTCCTGAGTTTGTAAAACTTGTCAAGATTGTTACACAGTTCTCCGTTTTATGCTTTCCTGAAGTTTCGAGACTCAAAAATTCAAAAAAAAACTAATGCCTTTCAGCACAGCACAATTTCCACAATTTTTTTCATGATGAGTGAAAAATATGACACAAAATCAAAAAGAACAATGTGTCAATGAGAAGTGAAAATGTTCTGTCGTAATTTTTAAAAATTCAAAAATATTGAGATTCTGAAGTTCTGCGATTTCGAAGTTCTGAAATTCTAACATTCTGAAATTCTCAGACTCTGAAGTTCCGAAATTCTCAGATCCCGAAATACTGAAATTTCAAAGTTTTGAAATTCTAAGAATTCTGAGATTTTCAAGCTCTGAAATTCAGGAATTCAGATACTCCCTCAAAAAAAAGCTGTACTCCCGAATCACAAGCGTTGTACCCCTGAATGAATTGAGTTGTACCCCGAATCATTGTACCCCCGAATTTTTGGCCGAAATTCTACCCAGTTGACCCTCCGAAATAACACCTTCGATAGTCTGCAATTGTGTTTTTTTCCTCAAAAAACTACGACAAAGATGTAAAAATAAAAATTCATCATATTCAGAATCATATACTCAAATTGATCTCAATGACCCCTATGAGACTATCAATGCCCCCTGGGAGCATTTGGTCCTATGCCCCCTATGAGACATGGTGGGATGCCCCCTAAGACACAACTTCAGGATGCCCCCTATGAGTTAGTGACCCCTATGAGTGTATGCCCCCTTTGAGCACGATGCCCCCTATTTCGATGCCCCCTGGGAGTATGGGCCTGTGTGCAGAGTCCTTCCAAATTATTCCTTCCCCGAATATCCGTCGATGGTCCGCCGACAGTTCGTTAACGACCCGTCAGTTCTCCTTTGGCTGCAATCCTTCAGCTGTATGTACCAGTTTTCGGCAGTTGTCCTTTACTTGTGTACGCGAGATTTGGTTCAATGAAAAATTATATCGGCCTTATTTTCACTGGTTTCAAGTTGCCGTGATGAAACTGCTCAAACACCATTTTACTAGAAATTGAGTTTAAATGTTGAGTGATTTCTCCTTAATTAATGCTTTCCATGCTTGTTTCCTGTTCAAGGTACATTCAACACATGAAGCTCCATCCAAACACTCGCCCCCTTAATCTCCCATTCTTCTCCTTCACCAATTCTAATTTGTATATTTCTCCTATTCTAAATGCTCCTTCCACCACTTGTCGCTTTTTCTCTGTCTTCTCTCCAATTTGTTGCATTCAAATCTCCATAGCAACTTGTCCAACCACCTAACAATTGTGAGCTTCTCCCCCCCCCCCTCTCATCTCCCTTCACACTTGTTTTATACGCCCACTCGTGATGGTGAGTTATATTATTTCCATTTGAACGATTCACTGAATTTTGAATTTTCAGATGAACTTGTTTCGAAACCGAAAGAAGAACAATTCTGGGCCAGCCCTACGCAAAGTTCCGAAAATGCCAGAATTGGATGATTTTCTTGCAAATCAAGACTATGAAGGAGCCATTTCTCTGCTGAATGTAAGGTTTTACTCAAGTTTTTGAGATCTCATAAGTAAGGTTCCAGCACAAACTAAAAGCCGGAAACTTGGAAAGAGAACAAGAAGACAACCTTCAACTATGGCTTGCTCATTGTTACTACAGGTTGAGGAACTATGAAGAAGCAGCATTCGTTTATCAGACGCTGATGGACAAGTATGATTAATGTTCTTTTTTTCATATTCTGTAAATGAACTTTCCAGAGACGATTCTCCAGCAGAACTTGGTGTGTATTTGGCATGTTGTAAGTTCTATATGAAGCAGTATTTGGAGGCAAAAGCAATTGGAGAGAAGTGTCCAAAAACTCCGTTGTGCATTCGTCTTATGATGAATGTATCTCTTCGTTTGAACGATGAGAAAAAGATTCTGACATTTCATTCCAGTTTGGGAGTAAGTTAAAACGCCAAAAAGTATTCGGCTCTAGTTGTTTACTTTGGAACAGTTGGATTTTAAGAAAATTTAGAATTTTAATGTTTCTTAAGTTCTTTAAAACCCTAAAACATTTTCAAAACATGAAGTTGTCATAAAAATGTTTTTTATTCCGAAGTAATCAACTAAAGCCAAGTATTTGGCTCAGCGTCACTTCAAAACTGCGACACTTCGAAACCAGTCATTTCGAAACCGTGGTAATACATGCGAATGGATAAATTCCGGAATACAAAAAAAATAAGGGGTTTGAAATATGCTTTCTCTAATAGAACACATTCTGAAATCCGAAAAAAATCCAACATTCAATTTTTTTCAATTTTTTAAAGTTTACCGGATTTCAGAATGTGTTTTATCAGAAAAAAACATATTTGAAAAACTGTTTTTGTAGTCTGAAATGCATCCATTCGCTTCGGTTCGAAATGGCCGGTTTCGAAGTGACACGGAGCCAAGTATTCTCGAGTCATTTTTTCTAGAACACTCTGGAAGACAAGCTCTCGCTTGCTGGAGTAAACTTCCAAAGAATGCACTACCAAGAAGCCATCGAAGTCTACAAAGAGATCCTCCAGGCTAGCCCGTACTTTGGAGAATCCAAAGATCTTTCTTGACCTTCTATTATTTTCAGAAATTTGGTGGGACTCAACATTGACATGGCTCTATGCTATGCCAAAATGGATTTCTCTCATGTTGCATACAATCTTGTCAAGAACTATCTACGTCTTTTCCCGAACAGTCCATTTGCGAAAAACTTGCATCTCTCCGTTCTCTATCGTACAATCACTTCAAAAGCCAATCTGGATGATCAATCTGAATTGGCAAAAAACATTGATCAGGAAGGCTTGACAATGGTTCAACAAATGGAAGAGCTTCTCAAGCAGAAACTGTATCCAGAGGTCGAATATCTCTGTAGACACAATTTGGTGCTTTTCAAAAACTGTGACACTGCTCTTCAAGTGCTCCCTTCTCTGATGAAACATGTCCCAGAAGCACGGCTCAATCTCATGTTATACCATTTGAACAAAGGTATCGAATTCTAGGGTTTGAGTGTTATCTTCAGATCAAAATTCCTGATTTCAGATAACATCAAGGATGCAATGTCTCTTTGTAAGGACTTTGAACCAACAACTCCATACGAGTTTCTAGTCAAAGCACTCACTTTTCTACGCTATGGACAGGAAAACGATTCGGTGAGAAGCTCATGATCTTTTTTAGAAAACTCGTTGTCATTTTCAGAGAGAGCATCTCAAAACAGCCGAAAACTTTTTCCAAATGGTCGGAGAATCTGGTCTTGTTCAAGGTTGTCTATACATCCTTATAACCGAAGTTAATCTTTAATTTCAGACACGATTGCGGGAAGACAAGCATCTGCCGCGTACCTTTTCCTCGCATACAAATTCGACGACGTCATCACATATCTGAAATCAATTGAGGACTACTTCCAAAACAATGACGCATTCCTGTTGAATTTGGCTCAAGCGTATTTGATGTACAAGAACTACGTGGCAGCTGAAGATCATTTCATTCGAGTTTCCGGACCGGAACGGGACAAATTGTTGTACAAGTCGATGTTGGCAAGATGTTGTAAGTAGGCGGGTTTTTGAAAAGAAAAAAGTTTAATTTACCGTAAAACCTGTAATAAAAGGGCCCCCTAACTCATAAATTTGAGCTCATTTATCTCGGTTCCTGTGAAAGATATCAAAAAGTAGTCAACTGATAAAATATTAGTCATAAAATCACTAACTTATTATTAGTTGACATTTTTGATAGCTTGTACAGGAATCGAGATAATTGATCTGAAAGAAAAAAAAGTTAGGGTCCCTTCTTTTACAAGTTTTAGCTAACTAATTTTCAGTCATCCGAAACAAAAAACCACAAAAAGCATGGGATATGATGTTAAAGACTACAGTTCAGTCGGATAAACTCAGTCTTCTGAAAGTGATTGCTCAGGATTGTTATCTGGTTAGTTACCAACATGGCGAAAACAAAATCAATTCAAAAATTGTTCAGTCGAACGAATTCTACTATGCTGCGAAAGCATTCGATGAACTCGAAACTAGTGATCCGACACCAGACAATTGGAATGGGAAGAGAGGTGCATGTGCTGGCTTATTCAGACAATTGGCTAATCATAAAGCAGACACGTGCGGTTTAGAATCCTTGTTCAAATCTAGGAATCAATTTCAGAACTCTTGTTGAACACATGCGCGAAATCATTCAGTTGGTCGCTTCGAGACCACACTCAAACTGTGAATTCCTCCTCAAAGTGATCCGTTCGTGGGGCGCATCTCATAATGTTGATCTCAATTAACTACTTCTTTCTGTGATAAAGAAATAAACCTGTTTTGTCTCTACTGACCCATTTACCCGGTTACCAGTTGTTGTTGCTGTTAAACGAGAAAACTTGCTTATCATTTTTGAGAAGAATGGTATAAAAGATGCATCCATGAAATGAATCTTCAGTCGTCAGCTGAACATGAAGATTGACAAAGAAGACGATCAGCAGCAACAGATGCGCCGTGTCGCGTTCTTTGCGGTGGCTGTCTCCACTGCAGCTGTCATCTCCAGGTAATTAATTGGATCGGAAAATTAATCCATGTGAAATTCTTTCCAGCATTGTGACACTTCCAATGATCTACTCGTATGTCCAATCCTTCCAATCTCATCTTATCATGGAGACCGAGTTCTGCAAGTCTCGTGCCCGTGATATGTGGGTTGAGATGCAAGTTCTTCACAAGTCAGGAGTCACCCGTAGCCGCAGAAATGCTGGATACAAGGAGGGCGGTGGCGGTGGAGGAGGATCTGGTTCCGGTGGATATGGAGGACCAGCTGGAGCTGGTGCCGATATCGGACCAACTTGCTGCCCATGTCAACAAGGACCAGCTGGACCACCAGGACCACCTGGAGATGTTGGACCGAACGGAAACGATGGACACCACGGAGCTCCAGGAGTTCCAGGAAAGGAAGGATCCATCCTCAGCTCTGCTCTTCCACCATCCGAGCCATGCATCATCTGCCCACCAGGACCACAAGGAGCCGTTGGACAACAAGGACCAAAGGGACCACCAGGACCAAAGGGAAAATCGCAAGAAAGAGCCGGAGACGGAAAGAATGGAGAGCCAGGAATGATCGGACCCCCAGGACCACCAGGAGGTGTTGGAGAGCCAGGACCACCAGGACCAGCTGGACAACCAGGAAGAGTCATCCAAGTCAACGGACCAGCTGGACCAGCAGGACCACGTGGACCAAAGGGACCACCAGGACCAAAGGGACTTCCAGGAATCGCTGGACTCACCGAAGCCGGAGGACAAGGACCACCAGGAGACAACGGAGGACCAGGACCAGTTGGAGGACAAGGACCACCAGGACCACAAGGACCACAAGGACCACCAGGAGACGAGGGATCTTGCGATCACTGCCCAGAACCACGTACTCCACCAGGTTATTAGACCCAATTGGTCTCGCCGACAATCTTGTGATTACGGTGTTTTTGCTGTATGCTGTTCTGACTTCTTCTTTTTAATTTAATTTTGATTTTTTGTATTCTAATTGCTCAATTTTGTGTTTTTCTTTGTTGTTTGGCTGACGACTCAACCCAAGCTCGACTCGAATAAACGCTCGCTCGAAAATACGGTTTTGTTTTGGAAAAGTGACACTAAATCAAAATGACATATTGCAAGGGATTTGTAGGTTGTAGTGTGTATATTAAAAAATATTTCTGATGACAAAAGAAGTATCAGTGCTTTTAATTTTAATGTTCTGCGATCATCTCAAAAACTTCAATCAACCTCAGATACCATAAAAAATTAAACTTTGAGCTCAAATATCTCAATTTCTATAAGAGATATCAAAAATCTATCAACTGATAAAATATTTTTCATAATATTACCAATGTTTTATCAGTTGACAGATAATTGTTACCTCTTAGAGAAACCGAGATAATTGAGCTCGAAGTGGAAGCCTTTAATGAGAGTGTTTACAGTAGTTATTTTATGATAACTTTTCAACTGGAATCTATCTTTGAAACACCAACATATTTTCCTGAACAATTTTTGATTCACTGTTCCTCTTTTTCCAGTTGTTTCCATACATTATTCCATGATAAGCACAATGTACTTTGTGTTTTTTTTTTGAGAATTATAAAAACCCGAATTTTGATATCAGAAAACAATAATTCGAATTGGCAGAAAAAGGCGGAAAAGGAAGCATGGTTTGTAGTCGTTGTCGATTTTTTTTGGATTCCATAATGATAAGAGTCTTTGAGAAGACTCACATCTAATCGGTTCAGACTGATAGCATGAGAGCAACATTTTTTTCTCTTTTCGTTCCTCGTTTTCAAACTTTTTTTCGGTTTAATTTTGAACTACATTGACTACGGTTTTTTTAGGGAAAAATAATCGAATAAAAAATGGCGAGTAATTGAACATCAAGTACTCTCCCCGCCCCGGGTATCCAAATCGTTTTGTGATTTCCCTGATCTATACGAGTATTTAATAGTCGGGTAACCCAAACCATTGAAACATTTGTCTTCTGTCATCATGACCTTATTTCGAACGGTATGTAACAGTTTTCTGGCAGGAAAAATGAAAATATTCATGATAACCTTTTATAACGTAACAAAAATGGTATAAGACAAATTGTAGGTTTCCTCGGAAGTTTAGAACCATGTACAGAATGCGCCTTAAAGGAGGCGAGACAGCAAAAATTTCGGGGGCAGTTCGGGGGCCGAAATCGCGCCGCGCTTATGTAAGCCATCGGTCGGCAGGCGCCTTCGCGCCCCCGTAGCTCAGCCGGTAGCGGCCCTGAGCTGCCTGTCATGAGTTCAATCCCTCATGGGAGTTCTCTATGCAAAATATCAGGAAAACTTTTTTTTTGGTACCTGGCCTCCTTTAAACCATCCACTTTAAGCGCATATATCTCATTTCCTGGGAAAGATATCAAAATGTAGTTAACTGGCAAAATATTAATCATCATATCAAAAATATTTTGTCAGTCGACCGTTTTTTGATATCTTTCACAGTAACCAAGATAAATTGACTCAAATGTGGAAGTTAGGGGCACATTATAGGGTGAATTATCCGGACATAAAAAAATTATCCAGACATAAAAACGGGTATATCTTTCAGCATAAGTATCTGGGAAGCACAAAAATTGGCAGAAATTTTAGGTTTGATTCAAAGATAACGAAATTTTCAAAGCTATTCTTTGAGTCTAGTTGTTGTTATGATTGTCCAAAGATGAATCTTTTTTGCACGTAGTTGTGATGATCATGAGATGAAGCACCTCTGATTAGCGATAACTCAGCCCACAGTTGATAAAATGACTTGAAACTTGGCCGGTTTACTGATGAATTATTTGATTTTTCGCCTACCAAATTTGAGCCCAGTACAACGTCTTACTCGCGTTTTATGGTAGTTCAAACTTTAGTCCGGATAATTATGCGCCACCATGTGAATGAGTTTGATTCTACATTAATACTTTTTCCCAGATTAAAATATTTTATCCGAACCTTTTAAACAAAATACTTGTATTGCAGGAAAACATGAGTTTTATCCACTGGCCAACTATAAATTTAGTCCTGACGGTCGTCGGCGCTGGCTTCATTTTGTCGATTCAAAGTTTGTATTACATCAAAGTGAGTGTCCTGAATAATCTTTGTGAACAAAAAAAAAAAGAACTGTAAAATGTGAAAAAAAGGAGAGAGTGAAAAGAAGTGAGAGTAGGTAGAAAAGAGGAGGCCACATCATCAGTTGCCTGTTTATTTTGTTTGTGTCTCGATTCAATTGATACGGACGACACTCTAAGTAGAAACAAAAAGAAGAAAAAAGAAGAACGAAGAACACTAGAATCGATGGTCTCTTTTCGCTCACTTCTCAGCTATACTGCTCTTCTAATAGGGCTCATTTCATTTGCCGCCGATTCGATTAATTATGTATTCACCTCTAAATACATTCAGGTTTTTTTTA